TTATCATGACTAAGTTTTCATCTATTCTATTCTTTTCCTGGCAGAAATATGTTTCTATACAATCGAATAGGGTTGAGATCTATCACAGTATGTATGAGAATATTTCTATTATCAATATAAATAACAAGGACATAACTGGTTTTCAGTGCACACTGGTATCAGACAAATACCTTCCAAATATTTTACAAAATCAATCATTAATCTGACCAACAGAATTTTGTGCTATGATCATATCACATCACAATGTGATTCCAGTATAAGATGATAAATGCCAATATTGAACCACCTACCATACTGTGTGTCTTTTGTGCCAAATTAAAAAAAGCCATTGCCAAATTTTAAATACACCAGAAAATCCCATTCAGGCACAACTGATAACTAATAAACAGTAGAGCTTTTTATTACCAGGCACCCATCCAAACCTGGACAGCTTGATGTCATCAATTGATCTCAGCCCCCCTACTGAGCCCTGAGTGGCACCCTCTTTCATGGGGGTATAAACCCGCTGCTCACAGAGCTAATCTGCAGAGGCACGGCTGCTTTGAACACCGGTTTGCCCTGAACCCACCATGGGGAGTGAAGTCCTCTGAGACCCCTCAGATGCGGTGAGGCTCAAGGACTGTGAGCCTGCACAGATTTTAGTGCAGGGGGAAAGATGGGTCGGTGGGCCTCCTTTCTTTGTGTTTGGATGTGACTTGCTTTCCATTCTTAAATTAGCAATACTTTTAATTAAACTGTAGTTGTGTCTTACAGTTAGTACATTTTGTTTTGGCCCACATCCTTTCAGCCCATTTTAACACAATCCACATCTTTTGCATGTTAAAAAATACCCTGATATTGTGTACATTCAGTGAGTAATGCTAATCAGGATGTTAAATTTTTTTCAGCATAATAAACACATTTTATATTTTATATTGCATTAAAAACTATTTCAGAAACTTTTCATTAGTTATATGTGATCGGCATTAAATCTGAATGACTCGATTTCAAGCACCCACCGGTATTAACAGATCAAATTAGCTCCACCTTGACCAGCTACACCACAGAGTACTGCTTCTACATTAATACATCAATAAAAAATGATATATATTATAATAATGTAACACTTAAAGGGGCCATTCAGAATAATGAGTACATTTTATTTTACTAATGCCTTTTCTTGTAGTGGAATAGTATGGCATGACAACTTTTACTCAAGTATTTGAATACCTTCTCCACCACTGTATTTAAATGTTACACTTAAAGCTAAGTTAATCAAATATTGTAATAATTACTATAGTAAACCAACATTATATATATTTCAAATGTTTTAAATGCAAGAGTTCTACTTGTATTTTTACATTGTAGTATCCTGTGGGTTACTACCAATGTAAAGCTTCTGAATACTTCTTCTAGCACTGACTATGGGAACAGTGTCATGTACTGTAGATGCATGCTGTAATGTATTTTCATACCCATTGGGTGGCGCTGTCGAGCTCTTTATTTTCTGAAAGAAAAGGCCTGGCTTGTTCTATGATGTCATCCCCAGTCAAGTTATCATATGACACACACCCTATTTGTACAGACAGACACACACACCTATATAATTATTGGATCTCAGCTCAGATTATTAAAATAATATAACTCTGCACTTATCTGGAATCAAAGAGTGGACTGTAGCAACATGAAATTAGTGAGAAACAGGAAAGTAGTGGGAGAGTTAGCCTTCAGTGTTTTGATTGCTGTGAGACTGAGGGAGCAAGGGCCCACCCAAGGGAGATGGAAGCTGTGGATGAGAGAGGAGGAGGAGGAGAAGGAGAAAGCGTGAGAGGTGGACAGAGAAAAGACTGAGAGTGAGGACAGTGCAGGAAGAAAGCACTCCTCGCCCTCCACCCCTCCACCCCCCTGCTGTGAAATCAAATTCACTGACTCACTCTGAAGTCGTCAGCTTATCTGGAAGAGTAACGATCACAAAAGACACCAACAGCGCGGTGGGGAGTGTCAGGGCTTTCAGTTGGGTAATCTTTCCAAGAAGACACAACCCCCTTTTGGCCAATCACTGTTTAGACAATGACTGTGCAGACCTTTGCAGAGACATATGCAGGCTGCTGAATGATGAGTCATCAGTTAGTCAGTGCAGAATACTGTATCTGAGTCTTTTCACATGCCTCGAGAGTCATGTCAGCGCACAGGCTCAGATGTGACTTTTACCCGTCTAGTGAATTTGGAAGTGTTGTTATGATCACAAGTATGACGATGATTTCACAATTACAGTTTAGAGAAAAATGTGTCCAGACTATTCACTTTCTCTTTTGCAGCATTAATAATGCATGCATCAGCCACGGGCAAAACAGCCAGAGCGTGGAAGTAAAAGGCTTCTTAACAAGGTAAGGCTCTTTATAAGTGCTTAAGGGAATCCGAACCTGGTGGTGAGAACACCTTACAGTAGTGGAAGATAAAACATTTTGCGGAGACAAGATGATTAACAGGATGGGAGATAAACATATTTCTGGTTTTTTCTTGGTCTTTTTATAGGAGAGCTTTTATTAGACCGCAGAGAGTGGAGAGTGGCAGGATGTGGGGGGTGACTTCTGCAATGACATGGTCACTGTACTAAAACTGTGCCATCAGGAGATCCCAACATATTTCTTCTGTAAACTGGTTCAACAAAGTGAAATATTTCACCAACTATTGGATGGATTGGGATGACATTTTGCAAACATGCTAAACTAAGATGGTGACCATGGTTAACATTAGGATGGTAAACACTGGTATGCTAGCACTGCCATTGTGAGTGTGATAGCCTGTTGGCATTAGCATCATAGACTATATAAAATTAAAGATGGACATAGTCTCTGTGACGTCACGTATAGGTTTCAAAGTGTGGTCGGCTTTGCCCTTCGCCATCTTGGCGGTCCTGACTCTGATAATCCAAAAATGGGCAAAGACGTGGAGCGTGGTCACTGAAACCAGCTGCCTGTGGCGGCCCCCACCTCTCGCTCAAAGCAACCATTAATTATACTTAACTTTAAGCCTTCATATGATTTAAACTGGTGAGTTATATAGAAATATTCAGTACAGTTGTCATGAACAGGGAATTTAGCTATAGAGACCGAAACTGTTTTTGTACCAAGCTGTAAACATGTTTATTTCTGCTGTAAAGTTGGGCATTTTAATATGAGCCCACACAGATATTGATTCACTTCTGTAGCCAGTCTAAAGTAGCTGTTCGAGGAGCTGCAGTTTTTGTTACTTCTGTGTTGACTTCTTTTGCCAACCACGGAGGTTGCTACTTGATTAGCATTCAGTTCATAGCACTGCTGTTGAGCCTCACAGAACCACGAGCATAGTTGTCAACATGTTGTTTTCTGACTATTCTCTAGGTTCATTAGGAGAGTGAGAGTAATGAGTGCCAATGAAATGGGGAAATCAAACATTGGTTGAACTGCTCACAGTTCTTAAACATATTACATAAACCTCTGACTAATGATAACTAACTCTGATAATCCTATTGGTTTATTTTAGGGGCAAAAGTCAAAAAGGTTTGGGAACTAGAGCGTTAAATGGATCATGGACACGCTGTGAATCCAAAGACTGTTCAGGCACTGTCTGTAACCGTGGTGTATGATAGCATACCATGGTTGCCAAAGCAGTGGTCAATGTTTTACTACAGTTAGCCAAGGAACACAGTCGATAGGGAAATGAATATAAAACACAGGCACTGAGGCCTGAGTAATGGATAAAATTCAAAGCAGAGAAGGTTTTTAATTTCACTGCTTTTGACCGTTCAGGCTAGAGAAAATTGAGACATTTCAGCAAAGACCTTTGTGTGGCATGCTGCAGCTGGACGGGGATGAGTGGAAGGGGACAGAAACACCTCTTTAATGGACTTGTCAAAGGGAGTAACACCATTACAAAGTGTTGCCAGTTGGGCGTATGCATGCATGCACCCAGATGAAAATGTCCCCTTGCCCCCACACAGGCACACGCAAGCACTTTTATCCCCCACTTTACTGCTCCCACACCCTACGTGTAACCCCTCCAGGCATGGACGAGTGTGCGTGTCATGTGAGGAGCTGGTGTGCGCCACCTGGTGCGACTGAGCAGACAGAAGAGAGTGGAGACAGCGAAGAGAGAAACTAATTTGGCTGCGGCCTCTGTCTCAGGAGTAGCCAGCCCCTGGGTTAGGTGGTCTATTCTTATAGAGGGCAGGGAGAGGTCTCCCGCTCCCCCGGTACACAAACCACTTTATAGGATCCCACATCATGTTTTGATGGCCCCCTGGGATTGTGGGGGAGGTGTTATCCAGTGACAAGTGAGAGAGGAAGAGGAAATTGAGCTCTACGCAGGTGGATTTCTTTTAGGTTCAAAGAGCAGTTCAATCTAGTCATTCTCTCCCAATATGGAGTCCCAGAGCTGACAAAAAGTGCTAATCAGTTGGTGGAAAAAAAAATTAGCTTGTAAAATAAATACAATCTATTTTTTTTTTTTTTTTTTAATTTAGCCCCTTATTTCCTTGGAGGGTAATTTAGCTATTCGCTATTATCACCTAGCAGTATTTTCAAATTTTCCACACATTTCCAAGTTTTCTTAATATGATAATGAGATGGGTGTCTATGAATGTCTACGACAACATTTGGTCCAAGGTGCATGGGTGTTTGTTTGCAACATCAATGGAGCATTTAAGTGTAGTACTACGCATGAAAACATCCATGGAAGTGTGTAGCTAACTAGCTTAAATGAAAACACTGGCTAAAGACATCGAGCGCAAGCCTTTTACTGACATAAGCTTACAATACAAAGCTTTTTAGTACCCGTATTTCTTTTTACTCTCCATTTTGAGTGTTTATCTAGCAGATTTGATGATGTTATCATTTATGTTTTTAGCTCATGTGATCATATTTTTACATTTTTGTCCGTTTTGGGACTCCGTACTACAAACGTGCTTGCTTTGATGAAAGAAATACATAAACTAGAATGACAATTCAGAAAAAATAAAAAAATGTAACCATGACAGCAGGGAGGATGTCAATCTTTAATGGCAGACGGCCTGAAATGTCTTCATTTAACATTTTCATAAAAACTTCTCATTTTGATCACCTTTTTTTTTTTTTTTGGTTTCAAACAAACAAACCTCTGCAATTCACTGAAATACAGTTTCTCCTCACAGCGGCTAAAGTACATAAATATCAACAGTACTGTATGCATTAGGAAAAAGAAAGAAAAAAAAAAAGAACACACACATGCCATGAACATGCACAGAACACACAGATACGCACATGGTATACTGAAACAAGAAAGGAATATTTGTCATTGACAAAGGGAGGGATCATTATATTAATTTCCAGGAACTTCTGTACCGTACCGCTGGCAAAACACGAAAAGATCCATTCGTTCAAGGAGCATGTTTTTCTCTGGATTTCACAGTGAATTATGTAGGTAAAACAGTATTCATATATCAGATACAAACACAAAAAGAAGCTCTAGAAAATTACCAAATGAATATACAATTAAACTTACAATAATACTTACAATGAATTATATGATGGGCATCTTCTATGAACTTTAAAAACATAATACCCATAAAAACACACACACACACCCGCACACACACACCTTATAAATACTTGTTCTAATAAATTTGGTGCCACACTTGGCTTAAAAAATGTCTGTAAAAGCAAAAACTGCCTCAGAAAATCCGTTGATATTATGTGCATATTATTATTATTATTCATTACAAACACTGACTATATGATTCAACCACTCCAATATGATTGTACACACCTGGGCTAAACATTATAGGGAAGATTGTTTACAGTATTTCAGTTTTTTGACTGTCACATCACTGTGAAATGTGACTTAGCCTTATCAGAAAAGTACAAGAATTTACTGTCTGTTTTTGTAAGAACGCGACATGAATGAGAATTTTGGCGTCAAAATGTCACAAAAATATGATCACTCGATGATATGTCAGACAGCAAAGATGTTATTGCAGGCCAAGAATACACAAGATTACAAAAGATTTTTTTTTTTCTTTTACACTCCAATCATTACCATGTAAATTCAAAATTTACAAAAGCAGGTTGAATCACGTTGGCTCCCTAAAAATAGACAAAAGAGACAAATTGCTTAAAAGTGAATATCCTTTCAGACGCGGAGTGGCTCTTTGGAGTGACACCGAAAGAGACATGCAGCAAAAATAACGTCATACTTCATAAGAAATCAGATTGAGGACTACAAAGCAGTCAAAAACGGAATAATTCCACTAGCCTAGATAGCTCTCCAGTGTAAAAAAAAAATGCCTTTGGTCTTTTTGTTTCTCTATACTGTGCTGCTTCTTCCTGCTACACGATGAAGGAGCAAATTCCTTATTATAGCAGGGCCATGTTTTACAGTCTCCGGGGTCACTCTACCTTCACCAGGGATGGCTTATTCCTGTCAATGCCCCTTTCAACACATCTGATTACCTCAAACTCCTAGAATTATGAGCTGGATCAGGTGTGTTTGTCTCACACACATTGACTGCTTAGCTGAACCAAAGCACATCAGACAAAGGACTAATATGCTTGCTTCATCGGGTAAAAGACGGCACACACGGACACACATGAGCAAACCTAAATCCACACAGTATGTAGAAAAGACAAGAGCAAACCGACAGGACTGCTTTGGTATAGCAGGGCTACTTGCCATTTTATAATGGCACAAAACAGGAAGGGCACAGAAAAAAAAAAAAATGTATGAAAGTTCCTCACACACTTTAGCACAACATGAACCAATCAAACAGAACCATTTCAAACATTGTCTTGATTACAAAAATACTTTTTGTATTTCTTTAAAATATCTAAAAATGTACAGCATTGTTTTTTTTCCTTTTTTTTTTGCAAAGTCATGCTTCAACATGTATTTAATAATCATAATAACATTAATATGAATGATATACAGAATTGTAATAATTATAGTCATATAATAACATTACCCGGCAGTGCTTCAGCCACACTTCCACACGTCTGGCCATGCCAAGATTCTGCATAAATTGTGTTTGCACTCCTTTGGCTGTTTTAACACTTGCATATACAGAATGCAGAGCAAGAGACCTGCTTAACGTTAGACAGGCGATGCAGTCAACTGGTAAACAAAGGGTGTGTGCGCCTTTGTCATGCATGCCCGGTACCTTTCATGGAGGTGTCAGAGAAGGTGTAGCCAAAGCGCTGCCGGTAAATCTTGAGTATGTAACAGTATAAAAAAGAGTTGGAGGGACTTTGGGAAAGGGTGGGGGTGCTCGATGTGTGACGGAGGCTGGGGTCTAGTATGTCCTGAGGCCCATGAGGCTGCTGCTGCCTAAGAGAGAGAAAGAGCGATACAAGAAAATGGGGTGAGGTTGCCATGGTCACCGCACACGAACCTTGTACACTAATGAAAACACAGGGGATCGTGTGGAACTGTTGCACGACACAAACACATTCACACACCCATAAATTCACACACACAGAGGTAGATACACACAAAACATTTTGCTTGTTTTCTCCTCAATTTGGCTTTATGATGCCAAGACCACACACACATTTACGCCACAAAATATCTAATACTGCGGTTCTGGGTTTGTTTTCAAAACATTATCTGTTGAGCAAAAGTTGACGCGCTGTCACTGCGGCTCGATGCCGCCATGTTCATTCCAGCAGATGTCTTTGGCAGTGCAATACAATCTCCCTAAAAAAACAACAACTGGGCTTTCACAACTTTTTCCACAAATCTACACTTTCAAATCAGACACCATGCCAGAAGGGAGTTGGTGGCGAGGTGAGATTTACACCCTTTGTCCTCGCCTGTTGGGATCAATGGTCGTGAAGTCCAAGCCGTAAACTCACCGACGGTGCGTTGCTCCGAGGGCTGGAGTCAGGTCAGTCCTCCTTGTTTCTAATTGGACACGAGAGGCAATCAGCAACGCCCGTCACAGCCGGCCACGGCCACCATCACACATCAGGAACCTGAGGACACAAAGGAGACGAGAGTTTTACTGAAGTGAACAAGCTGCAGCAGCGTCCTGACTGCTGGTGGAGTGTTTTTGTTGAGGCTGTTTGTATGTGTTGATTCCATAGTTTGTAATTCTGTTGTATTGGACTATATTTAACATTTCTGTTATTGCATCTGACCACTATATATTCATGATTTGTGACTGTTGTGCATACGGGTTTAATACTTGAGGGTAACAGAACAGTAAGTAAGCCACTTTAGCCAAATCCTTCAAGCTCAAGAACTGCACTCAGACACAGAACAAATGGCCAAAACCGAAGGAACAGAGACAAAAATGTCATCATTTGTAACATGATAGCTCACCTGGAAGAGCTGGAGCCCCATGTACCATCGCCATGCACAGCCGATTCAACTTTGACCTGTGACCCTTTGCTTCGTAAATCCCTCTCTCTCTCCCCCATCCCCTGTCACTCTTCAGCTACTGCTATCAATTAAAGGCAATATAAGCCCAACAAAGAAATAGCATAGAGTTTTAGTCCCTAATATGGGTCAAACTCCAAATACACTGGCTCCTACACTTCCCACGATGCAACTCAATCTTTCATTCGATGATCTCTGTCTGGTAAACTCCCACACCTTTCACTTGACACACTTCCCGCCACAAGTTTATAATGCAGGCTTTCTGTTAACATGTGGTTTCCAAGCCTATGCCAGCATGACTCAAAGTGATGTCTCTGAAGCTCCTCCAGAGCCACAGAAGACATTAAACAACTGTTTTCTCAGCATGTGGAGCACACCCTCTGACTAGTCAACTGATTATGACATGTAAAATCAGCTGACTATCCTTAAAAAAAGACCGTTCTGCCATCTTTTGCCACATCTTTCAAGCTCAAAGTCCAGCTGTGACTAACAGGACGTCAGCTGACAATGGTCTTAAATACTTATGTTGAACTTCTGCCTAATAACCATATCTCCCATGATCCCTCTCCACCTCAACTCCTCTACTCCCACCCCACACACCAGCAGACCAAAGAGAAAGGTCAACTCTCCGACCCCCTCACCCAACCCCAGATGTATCACCAAAAATAGACATCTCTCGGAGACCGTGGTAACTCGGGTTCAGGGAGGGAGGGGGGTTTCGAAACTCTTTGGAACAATAAACAATTAGCAACCCAAACATGACCTTAAGAGAAAGGAAGAGAGACAGACTGTTGCAGGCAAAGAGGGGAGACGGGTTTGGGAACAGTTCCCCGTTCAGAGAACAGTGCGTTTTTTGAAGGGGCACGGCTGGCCTAGCTAATGCCCTGTTGCGCGTTCAATCAAGGATGAGGGAATCGATGCGTTATACAGCCGCTTGGCTAAGCTGATGCGACGCATACTTCCAGACCACCTTATTTGTTCTGGCTGAGACACCAAGGTTAAAGATTGGGTTGATCATTGAACATGTCTGTGCGGATTAGGAAAAGGTTTAGTGATTTGCGGGCTTAATGTGTTACATCCAATAACTCGGCCCAGGCGCATAATGTGAGATAGGTAAACAAGTAGTGTTTGAGAATGTGGGAGGTGACTCGGTTTCTCATGAATGTGTGCTCTGTTTCCATTTTTTTTTTTTTCCAGCTAGGCTTCATGAAGCAATTGCTCCTGCCTGTGTTATCAGTGATCATTGATCTCGTGCTGCAAATGAAGAGGGAGAAGACTTGTTCAATTTTGAACCCAACATTTGACAGTGCTTTTCAAATGCGAATATTTGCTGGTTTTCTTAGTCCTCTGTGATAGTAATCTGAATTCTTTTGGATTTTAGAGTTATTGTAAATTCTCTTTCAGTATCTTTCACTGTCACTATCTGACATGTTATAGAATAAAGAATGAATCAATGAATGAAAGAAGGTAAGTGGGAGACTAGTTTAGAATTAAAGTTAGTTAGTTGCAGCCCTAAACTATTGCACTGCATATGGTTTCAATTTAACATATTAAGACTCAAATTTCAAAAATTGAGTATCAGTTGTTACATTAGTTACCCAGTACAGTTGTTGGTAGGTACAGTAGCTACTCAAATCAAATCAAGCTGCACTTAAACTGCACTCGCTGTTAATGGTGATGGATTACACAACAAGTGTGGTTCAAGAGTCTTCGGATTGATTTTCATGTTATAAGGAAAATAATGTAAACCCAATAACTGCCTATAGTAAGTATACATAATTTATAATACAGATGCTTAAACATCCAAACACACCCGTATGGTCCTTTAAGATTTCTACCTGTGCAACACGGCCATGAAAAAGAGCCCCATCTGAAGCCCCTTTAATCCGGAGAAAAGCCTTTAGGCCCTGGCTGTGTTTCTCACATACCAGCAATAGTTGCTGGAGCTGGGTGGTGATGAACACAGCTGCTGACATGTATCCAGCTCCTGAGACCCAGTGCAGGGACGAGGCCACAGTGTAGCTATACTGTATGCCTGTGTGTGTGTGTGTGTTATATGTCAGTAGGGGGTGAAGGAATAAAGTCCCACTTCCTTATTAGAAGGGGCCCCAGCTGGCCCTCAGCTCTCCAGTGGGAGGTAGTCCAACATTGCACAGGAACCATTGGTTTTTGTCGGGCTATTGGCCAAAAAGCTCCTCAGGGCAGGCAGCCAGTCTACACGCACACACACACATTCGTCTCTCTCAGGCTCACACACAAGTATGCATGATAGGGGTACACACACACACACACACACACACACACACACACACACTCTCTCTCTCTACACTCCCCCACCATGTCTTGTCAGATGGAAAATCCGGATTACCTTTCCCTCCAGTTCACTAGGCATTAATGTCCACTATTAGGTTGTCTTTGGATGTAGCTCTGTGCCAGAGCATGAATGTCAAATATAATTCAGCTTCACAAACATTCAGAAGAATGACTAGCCTAAGCCTCCAGGGGTATTAAAATAACAAAAACATACAATGTAGTATGTAGCTACCCGTCTTAACATATATGAAGTGGCACTGCTGTAAATGAAGTTTTCAAAACGGTACTTCCCTTGAGGATGCCAGGTGATTAAGACAATTCACTAACAGCCATGACTAAAGACCCCTGAACACTACCTTACTTTCAGCTGTTCACACAAACACACACTCAAGTCTCCCACGGTTACACTTCCTAATACACATACTCTGACCGTGAGTGGTTCCCGTCCGTCAGATGCCAAGACAATCACTGACCGACCACAAGCCTCTCACGACTGTGGAGCTGTAAGCCTCTCTGAATTCCCATTGTGAGGGTTTACTGTCACCAGACGCCTTCAGCATGAGTAACAATTCACAAATGCTGCTGCTTTTTGAATGCACATGACCCATCAACAGCAGACAGATTGTACAATGGTGGTGCAACGCAGACAGCTTCTCTCTGTAACCTCAGTTCAAGTTTATTCTTGTTGTCTTGCAGCTCAAATAGTTTCAAAGTGTTTCACAAGCGCCATGCTTAGCGGATTGCATTGCACAAATAAATAACACCCTCCTCACAGCCCACATCAAGACGTCAAGTAACTGTGTTCTTGACTGAATGCATTGAACAGACAAGAAGGGCCAAAAAACACAAGGTCTGGTGCAGCTGAACTGTTTGTTTGCAAAGCTGAAAATGTCAGGGACAAACAAAGCAGCGAGGCTAACTCAACACTGACAGTTTACTGTGGGAAGTGACCAGCATTTCAGTATCATGAGTACTATTAGATTTTATTATGTAAACATACTTCCTACATTGTAGACTTTTCGGTCATGCTCTAGTGCAAAGTCATTTACATGAAATGACCATGTTGGTGCACACTGGAAATGAAACAGTATTGTGGTTCACTCTCTTAAGTTACAGAGTTATCCTGACTTTAAGGATTAATCCACCTAAATGACTGAAAAACATAGTTTTCGGTTTTGTTCTAGTATAAACTGCTCAAATAGTTTTATTGAGTCATATCACATAGTTTGAGAGTGCCAAGAAGTCTCTGTGTTTTTGGAAAAGATACAAGGTAGATTTAATCATCATCTTACAACACAGGGTTGTATAACAAGATTAAGTTGTGCTTCCCTTCATACTACTCACACATTATATACAAATATTACATTCAGTAGATGGGTGAATAAAGAAGTCATAGAAATAAAACTATTTTACATGGTGGAGTGCTGAGGATGAATTAAGCAGTCTCACAGCCTGGGGGAGGAAGCTGCTCTCAAGTCTGGAGGTACGGCAGTAACTCTTGCCAGAAAGCAGCAGGGGTAACAGGTTGGGGCTGGGGTGGGTCCTGTCTTTTAGTATTACATAGGTTTATCTAATATCCTATGTAGGAATATTACTTATTTCCTGCCTGGTCTACTTCTAAATGAAGAAGAAGAGGGTATCTTCCAGGTCTGACTGCTTCAAAGTAAAACAACCCACATTATATACGTGATCTCAATGACAATGGTTACTTTTGTAGTTGGTTATTATTTATTCAGAAAAAGGGGCAGCCAAAAAACATATAGCAAAGACAGGCATTGTGTGTGTTTATGTCTTGTGTTGTTTGATGCCAACTATTTTTGTATATATTTCCTCACTTACCTCTAGTGATATCTATTCATGAAGATAAGTTTTGGATGAATTTATTAGGGTTAGGGTTACAGTTTCTGCCTCCACTGCAATTCAGCAGGGATGAATGGAATTAGTTTGTGATGCTCACATTAAAAGATGACATCTAAAACAACAGCCTGTTATTTTGGATAATCCACAGACGTCACTGTGAGCAGTTTTCCTTGGGACTATTTATTTATAAAAGTGATTCCAGTGAGGTCTGTAATTTTCCAGAGTAAAGAGGTCACTGTTTCTCGAAAGACATTAAGCTCCTGACTTATTTAAGTGTGATTTTTGAATGCTATTGTCATGTGTGCTTGCTTTGAGAGGCCTTATGATTAGGCATGTACGCTGCACACTACATAATTTGAGTGTGTTGTATATGTGTATATCTGCTGCAGTGGCCTGTAATTATCACAATATTCTGACTGAATGTCTCAGCTTCACTTCACCCTCCACTGTGAGCCGGATGTGGGGATGTTGTTGTTCATTGAGGGGCTAATATCCACTGGGGCAGCCTGACCGGCCAAATGACTTCCTCCTGGTTTGATAGAGGAGTAATTATTTCCTCCATGTCCCTCCCTCCTCCACTCCCTTCCTCCTTTACCCCCCTGACACAAACGAAATCCCCAAAACATCAAATTACTCCAACAGCTTTTTCTCATGCAGTATGTTTCAGGTTCTGGAAATCAGCTATGATGCAGGGTTACAAAAGGGACAGTTGGGCCTAGCACCAATCAACAGTTTGATGAATGTTAGCCTCCATGCTACCATCACCACCCACTCCCCACTGACTCCCTAAGGGGTCGGGAGAACATGTTTCTTCCTGTCCCGAGACATTGGAGGGAGGGTACTGGTGACAGTGTGACTGGCGCCGAGTGAAAACACACACACACACACACACACACACACACACACATGCACACACACGCGCACGCGCCACACACACACACACACACACACACACACACACACACACACACAGTCAGCCAACAGATACACAGACTAGCAGGGGATTTGTTGTGCTTTGTGGTTTTGTTTTTCTGCAAGCACAACAGCGTTTAGTTTGTCTGAACCAGACAGCGAAGCACATGTGCTGTGTAGCGCATGCATGGTTATAGTTGACTTACGTACTTATCAAAGGACTTATTTGAAGCTGCTGTCTACTGTCTGCAGCTCCACTGAAATTAATTCATCTGTAATTTATTTTGAAAAAAGCTCCACTCAAATCATTTTTTAATAAAGATTCATAAAAATGGCCCTTCCGGCAGTACCTAGGTATCTCAGTGGTTCATGGTTCATATTCCACATTTACGACCTTCTGGAGCATCACATCCTCCGTCTCTCTCTGTCCTGTCTTCTTTATAATTCTCCACCGTGTACTTTATAGTAATGCGGAAATGCCAAAAACATCTTTTAAATTAAAAACTGTGTTTCATCCTGCCAGGGTTTGACAAAATGACAAATATGCCCTAATATCTGCTGTACAACATCAACATTATTATAGGGCAATATTCAGTGTTTATTATGGCAAAGTTAGAGCGTGTGCACAGTAATAAACTTTCCACTCACATACAAGTACAATAAATACCAGGCGTCCTTCCAGTAGGCAGATCTGTGGAACCAATAAGGTCCCTATGATCCCCCACAAAAACTACTCAGCATGTATAATCTTAATGAATAACCATTTTAGTGTAAAAAGTTGTTTTGTCCTGAAATTTTAGAGAATCGGAATCAGTAAATTCTCAGTGGTGGAAGACGTATTCAGATGCTTTACTTAAAGTTGCACTAATAAATATTTTTATGTTAACAATGGATGAAATGACTATGTATATTGTGAAAGGGGTCTCTCGTAGTGAATTATCTCCCAAATCTGCAGTTCCCTTCAACCCTACAGAGCATTGTAGTGTCTTCAAGCTGATTGTTTTGGTTTTCTAGCCACAAATTTACTGTTTAACGTTGTTACCCGACCTAGCCACAATCTGTTTTCAGCAAAAAACATCTGATAATCCCACTGTGTGCCACCTAGCACAGCCCAGCACCAAAAGGCAGAGACATACAATTAGCCACTAGCTAACTGTAGGCGGCTGAAGAGCAAGGTATTTAAATTGAGAGCTAGCTAAAACTGAAACAGCTAAAAGGAAAATTAATATTGGACTTACATATTGGCATTAATTTGCATGACTCCAAATGAATGTTGCTCTGTGTTTGCATGTTACATGTTTGTATGTCAGCGTTGTGTTTACAGCTTGCTGTAAGTGGCTAAGAAATAAAAAAGGAAATACAAAGTATCAGCACCAAAATATAACTACTAACTAGATGATATGTAGATAATAAAAGTATAACATTTGCTTCTAAATTGTAGAGAAGTTGAAGTAAAAATAAAATAAATACTCAAGTAAAGTACAAGTATCTAAAACTACTCAAGCACAGTACTTGAGTGGATGTACTGAGTGACTTTCACCACTGGCTATAATAACATTACCTATCAAAGAAGTTGATATTAGCATTTTAGTCATATTTGCTGAGAGCTACCCAGTCTGTTTTATTAAAACGTTGGCATCGGAGCTCGTTGTATATTCTGTTTGACTCGCTGCCTTTGATGCCTGAGATCAAGCATCACATCAATGGGAAAAGTCGACCCTCTGTACCCTGTGACCTGAGTGGGGAAAATAATGGAGTTCCCCTTTAAATTGCATGTTTCATCTCTTATGATGATGTGCTAGGAGTGACTGTAGTTTCATTGACCCACTGGGTTTTACACTGGTACATTTAAGGCTAATTTGTTTTGTGTCAGTGAGTTGTATGCGTTTGAAGCCAAGTAGCAGAAACGTGACTGGTTAGTTTGGCAGTTAGCTGGGTGGATGTTTTTCATGTGAGGTTTGAGGGCAAGATGAGGGGGCTCACTTGACGCACACGCGCTACGTGGATGGAGTAACACCCTGTGATATTTCTGACATATGTTTAGGAATATCTCTGTGCTTGTTTAAAAAAGTGTCATAACATTTACTAAATTATTTTCCCTGCATGGCGCAATGTACACTTCTTTGTCATTGTAGAGCAATGTGTTTGTGTGTGCGTGTGTGTGTGTGTGTGTGTGTGTGTGTGTGTGTGTTACTCACACATACTTCAGCAGAACTGCCTGGACTTCCATCCCTGAGGAGTTCCATCTGCAGGTGGGAGCCAACGAATCTAAACACACATAATCACACATACATACAAATTATACGACTATATACAATTTATATTTATACAAACTTATATAATATTCAATTAATTGAGTTCTTTTGCTGGACTAAACATTGTTTTAATCCTGTAACCTCAAGGAATAAAGACATTTAAAGGAAATACACTTATTTGCTTTCTTGCTCAGGATCAGATAAAAAGTTGATATATATGATACATGCTATAGCAAGCAAGCAGCTTAGTATAGCATTAAGACTGACGACAGGGGGAAACAGCTAACCTGCCTCTGTCCAAAGCTGACATAATCCTCCCATCCAGCAACCAGCACTTCTAAATATCACTAATTAACACATTATATGTGGTTTGTTTAATCCATACAAGAACTGAAGTGTAAAAACAACAGTTTTTACAGCGGTTTAACAGGTGGATATATGCTGGTTGCCGGGCAACCTCACTGTGATGACTCCATGAGGGCTAGCTGCATATTTTCTATACAGACCAGAGAATGGTAGAAAAGCGTTCTCATCCAGCTCTTGGCAAGAAGGTGAATTAGCGAATTTCCCAAAACTATTCCATTAACTCATAAAGATTTTTATGTATGCTTTCACATTTAATTGAATTTTTATTAGATTTGATTATTTTATTAGATTGTTTTTAAGATGCAAGAGTTACAACATGGCACTCCTTATTTGTTACAGAACTTCATAACTTTACTTTAAAAGTAATCTGTCGATAACTGTCACATGTCTCGTATATTTTATAATAACTCACACAAACCATCTTGTATTGAAATGAAATTCACATGATGTCACATAACAGAAGGACTTATTGTTTTTATGAGACCTATTGCCTTGTAGGCAGCCCAGTTGATAACATTTACAAGCAATCCAATAACATTATTGTACTCTGACTAGAAAAGATGAGAGCAGCTGATTAACCAGGGAGACAGAAAGCTGAGCTCATGTTAACATAAATTAGATTTGATCATTTAGTTGTGTTGTGTGTGTGTGTCGTGCATTCATATACATATTTTTATGTTCAAGCCAGCATCTACTCTAGGTCAGAAGAGGCTGTGAGATGCAAACATTACCCACAACCCTCTACTGAAATCACTAAGCCAGATTCTCTTTGTGTGTGTCAGTGTACACTCACATATCTGACGCATATGGAAAATTGCCAGCTGGGCAGATTCGACTTGCACTCATTTCAAATTCTGACATCATGTAAGCTTCTGCTTTACTGTCTTTGCTAGAGGCCTTTATACTTAAATAACCATAGTATCTGCATTATAAATGGAAATATGCTCCATATACTCAGAGATAAAAGACGTTGAAGTTGAGCTTAAAATACAGCGAAGTACTGAGAAATTACTGCCAGCTTCAAAACCAATCAACAAACAAAAAAAAAAAACACATCTAATACTGAGATCTAATCAGGGTCAGCCAGCACCAAACCATGAGAAGAATTTCAAGAGATCAATAATGAACTCTTATGTGAACTCACAGTGGAGCTGTGCAGATTAGAGTACCTAAATAAACTGGATCACGGTTGGTTGAAAAAGAGGGATTTAATTAACGAAGTAGGTGTTGGTCAAATGATGATGCAAGCCTTTCAAACCACTGACACTTTCAGTTGTGCAGATGATGGCACTTATTGGGATAAATAAAATGGCATAATGCGAGTTGTTATTTATTCAACTGTGGTCTGTTAGACCTTGACAGATTTCCCTATTTTAAATCTTTTCTCTGTCTCAAATTATTAACTTCCTAAAAAATGTCTCAGTTAACTAGGTGCTTATACACAAGCTTCTTCTTATTCTGTTGACTATTTATCTGTAATTGCCAGGATTTAAAAGACCCTAAGCAGGAACCCTGTATGCTTAAATAAATAGTTCAGTTTTGTTAATTCGGCTGTTGATGTTAAACGGCCAAATAATGCTGATTGCAATCAATCAGCATTAACTGGCCATACTATTACTGTTTAAACGTGTACCATTTTGAATTAAGGGAAGAGCTCTTTTCTCTGCAAACATTACTTTTTTTCCCCTACTTAGAGCACTTAAAAGTGAGTCAAGCCCTTTCTTGTGGCTCTGCAGGCAGCTTAAGGGTACGGTGAATAGTGAGATTAGTTTAGTTTAGTTCGATTCCGGGAAGTTAATGGGATCAGGTAACAGTTACTCTCAAGAGAAGGGTAAAACAGCATTACATGTCTGCAAAAATGGGCTACACCCTGTAAATTAAATATTTATAAAGTCGGTAATTTCACTATCAATAAACAAATTCGATATATCAAATTCCTGATCCACATCCTGCTTTTATGGAGCGCAATCATAGCTGATGAACATTACTATCTGTATTTCAAAAATGGCAGTTTTGACCTATAATGTAATGGTATAAAGTGAAAAAATAAACCCTGCAGCATGGCAAAAGATTTATTTAGTTAGTTTTGTAAGACCGGTTTCCTAGAGACAATAAAAAAACCTTCATGAGTGTGACTGTAAGAAAAATGGGAACATTCTCAAATCCAAACTACCCCCTTGACTTCACAACAACACACATTCAACCAGTAGAAGAAGAGAGAGCTAATAAGTAGATCTGTAAATCTGCAAATGACAAGAGACTGGGTGGTGTGTGCTCTGAGGTGCATCTGTGGGATGGAGAAGAGAGTGATTTCAGGGCTGACGGCAGCAGCTGTTTGTGCGGTGGGCTCAGGAAGAGGTGTTGGGGGGCAGTGGTGGGGGGGAGGGGGATGGGTTTGCAGGTTACCTGAGCGTGGAGCGAGGAGGGGTAGGTGAAAGCGGGTGGGAGGGCCGGCGACAGCTCCGCCGGGTACAGCGGGTATGACGCCCACACGTCTGGGCTGCTGGGATATAGAGTAGGCACTGTGAGCTCATCTGTGGAAAGAAGAAAAGGAGGAGTGGAGTGAGGAGAGTGGCCAGTGGACGGCTGGGTGGGTAGAGAGACGGGGGGGGGTAGGGCTGGTCGTGGAGGTGCACTACAGGTGAGTTATCAGTAATCTGAAGTGGCGTCCTCTCGTTTCAAGTCTTTAAGCCAACTGCTTGCTAAACCAGTCCCTCAAACAGTGACCAATCATTGCTTAGCAACCGTGACTAGGCATGAATGAACTTTGGATTTCTCAACATGCCAAATCAGTACATATTGGGTTTTAGCGGGAGTGATAATACCTGGCAGATTATTAACGAGCCAAAAACAAAAAAGCAAAACTGTATGGAGTGGAGTCAACAGTGTGTTTATCTGCTCAAACAAAAGTTACAAGCAAAGTCTACTAGCTTACTACCTACAGTACTTCCACACATGATTAAAGCCCCATTCACATCCACTGTGTAGTATGTGTAAGCTTTATGCATTTCAGCTGCTCTCAGAAAAATGACACTCCAGCAACCGCAACGATAACTCATAGATAACCTTACAGACATATCCATTATTCCTTTTCTCTTAATAATAACTTTAAGTGATAATATTCAATTTTCTCATCATGATTAAAAAAAACTAAGATTATAGCTCTACGCTGCAATAGTTACAAGAACAATGCTATTTATCATATTCGTTGTTAAACTAAATGTCTTCTAAATGGTACATGAACTCATGAGGATTCTGACTTTTTCTCTAAGAGATGAAGCTTTAACTTTAGCATTTAGCACAATATCTTGTATGAAGCTAGTATGTAGCATAAAGTTCATATTTAAGATATATTAAAACAAGTCAACTGGAAGCATTACTAAGTCAGCCAGAGATTATGTTTTCAAACGACTCATGAAAATAGTGTTAGCTTGTTATGTACTGCTGTGACTGTTGTCATTTCAGCCAGCCAAATTTGGCAACAAAGGAAAAGCCTAGATTTGTCTACCTTTGTCTGACATCAAGGACGCATTGTTTAAAAAAAGAAATGAATGCTAAATATGTCCTCATTATTAATGTGAACTGCATATACCCAATGTGAGAATGGTAAGCTTAACAGGCGTAGCAACACTCAATAAGAGGGTATGGCTTAGCAATAGTCAATTATACTCCCCTAAAACTGGTAAAGCGGACTTAATTCAGGATAAAATGAGAGGAAACCATCTCAGATACAGTGATTTACTCACTGAGTCGAGTACAAAGTTGTGAAAAAAAGAGCACAGTGCATGAGTGAAGAGATAGGTGACAGTGCAGAGGGGTACAGAGTAAGTGGGCTATATAGAGAGAGAACCATGAGATAGCCGTACAATTTTAAGAAGCATTTTCCCTGTGCTCTCTGGGTCTCCTGGTACAGTAAGTGTTTATCATAGCATGATCAGAAAAACTGCTGATTTAAACATCTCTTATCAGGAAATGACAGCAATTTCTCTCCTGGTGATTACGTCATGGTTTCATTAATCGTTTCCTTCCATTTTCCACCGGGGCCCCAAGTACACACCCTTTTTTCTGGCAAAAAAAAAAAGATCTGAGATAAGAGCAGTTTGGTCATTTAGGAAGAATGTACGACCACAGCTGGCCTATGTTCAACTATCAATGGCTGATTCTAGCAGAATGCTTAACTCCTTAGAAAAATATTTAACTAAATAGAAAAAAAATACAGAGCTGCATTAGCAAATTCCATACACGCCTGGTACTCAAAGGCCTTGAGTCCAAATAATTAGAGCGGCTAACGGTGAATATGCGCTGTTTATGAATCATTAATTCAACAGGGGGAATCTGTCGTTAGGGGGAGAGCTCTAATCAAGTTAACCCGGTATGACACAAGCGCACAGAATCTGATTTCAAAGAAACTGTTTGCATGAGTAGCTGGAGAGGATCCGTTTTTGCTTAAAGATTACCAAGAGAAGTGTCATTCACCCGTTTCCACAGAAACAGCCAAGCCAAGTCTGCATTTTTCATGTATAGTCACAGCTGAAGCACAAACACTCAGCTACTAATGACAACAACTCCTAAAGGGAAACAGCTGTCCAGTCACCTCAAACATGAGAAACTAATGGCCACAGGATGCAGCAAAACACAGACAAAAAGTAAGACGAGCTCAAGGACAGACGGACGAATGGTCGGCGTACTCACATGGGTCTCTGCTAATGAACTGTGGCCCAGGGCTCTGCTGGGAGGGAGGGGGATTGGGGGTGCCAACCAGCTTGTTCTTGGCCATCTTGGTATTGGCCTTGGCAAACTCCAGCCGCAGGGTCTGGGGGATCTCTGGATCAAACCGAACCCCCTGAGCGCAAACAGAAAGATGTGTCAGCAAATATATAACAGAAGCTCAAATATCATAATGACAATGTATTGATTATTTTATTGTTTATATACACCGATCAGCCATAACATTATGACCAGTTGCTATGAAGACGAAGCCAATCATAGGTACTAATCAGAGTTGTAGCAAACTACTAAAAGGCACAGTTAACCGTTTTTACGTACACAGACATGTACTTAAGTGTTTTTATAGAAGAACCAGATATTTTCATGATTTATGATTGAACCAGGAGAGTTTCATGCGGATCCAGGACTTGGAAGAGGTCCAAGAGCCAGTCCTGTAGCAGAAAATAAACGCTTCAAGAACCTAGAACACCTGAAATAACTCCTACCAATTTGTAAATCTATAAAAGGCATCAGCGTCTTCAGTGCGGTTAGGCAATGTGAAAAACTATTTATAAATTCTTCATCTGTGTACATTAATAGAGTATTTTTTTCGCTCCTGAAATAATTATTTTAATGCATTATTACACATTACATTATTACACATTTGGTATTCAAATTCATGTATTTGAATATTTCAGCTTATTTCAATTGTTTTATGCCCTTATCAAACTTGAGTATTAACTCACTTCCTGCCAGGAGAAACAACATATTTGTTCCTACATATTGTTCCCAGCCAAACTATGATGAATGCAGCCAGGTTGTGTACAGACTTCTTAAAAATCCCTTGTTTTCCTGGAAGGTTGCTCAAAGTGAACACCTTGGGAGGCGTCTTTGTTGAGCAAGATTAGGGTTCACCACATGATGACTCTTACTGATGTTACACATTACAACAGTAAAACTTGTTTTAGCAACAGTGCCTAAAACAACCAATTTATTATTTCATTAACTACTGAAGTGGTTATGTTATAAATAAGAGAACAATTGATAGACTTGCTGTCTTGTGCCTTGAAGTAGTGATGAAGCAGACAAATGTAGACTACTGAGGAGTTAGTTATCATTCATGTCTTCCCCTTTTACATTCTCAGCCTTGCTGTATGTTGTTTAGATGTCCAATAGGACCTGGCTAATATCTGGAATTGTCACTTGGTATACTTTTCATCTTTCAGCATTTTATGACTGAATTTACTGCCGAATTCTTGGCGGAGAGAGGGCATTTTCAGTTGCTTAGACTTTGAAGCCGGTAAGTGGCTCACTATGATTTAGAGTGTTATACTGGTTTGACACACATGATGATGGGTGACACCCGCAATTGAAAATCAAGACCTGATGACACAAACCTGGCGAGCTCATGATGTCATTTACACCACAGGCAGACAAGCCACAAGGTCCTCCCTATGCTCCCTACTGAACTCTGTAACTGTAACTTAATATCACGACATCAAATCTGCCACTCGCCATGACATACTGCAAGCATCACTGCTTAAAGTGAGCCAAACATTCTGGCAAATTCTTCTGACGTACCAGTGCTCATGACAAGCCAAGTAAAAGGTTGTTTTTTCTACTCTCTTACAGTTTGATCTACATCAAAAACCTCCACATGTTCAGTAGTCCAAATCATTTTTCTTCTCAATTACTTTCGCCTGAGGAAAAGTAAGGAATGTGACAAAAACAAAAGTCTTCTTCATGCAAATAACAAAGCAGCTATTTGTTTGCCTGCCGTGGAGGCAACAAGGCCGGGAAGGATTTCACCGGCAAATAAGCACCCTCTCATTAACCTCATTCGATTGTCTATAAAAGACGCATTGGAAAACACGGAAGGTCAGATCAATGGAGGAGAAAAGCAGTCAAGAGTAAAGTTCTCTGCAGCAGAAGAGCGGGAAGCTGCGCGGATGGTTTCCTCGGCTCGTCCCTGCAGGCTCGGGGCAAAGCTGAGCTGAAACAAGCGAGGGATGACTCTTCTCATGAAGGGGAGGGAATTAACTAGGATTGCCTTGGCTCAGTGCACTCGCAGCTTCTGCCAGTCGAGGCTGCAGATGTATAATAAGGTACATGGATATAATGAGGCCTGAGCACAACTCAGTTTGAACTGTGTTGAATCTCTACCTTGAAATGTGTTTTTTAGCTTCTTAGCACTTCCTTTGCACTTCTGCATGTATTGTGTTGTTGATGCCTGTGATTGTTATAATGGTGCTGTAGCGAGAATCAAGTGTTATTTTAGAAGTTATATTTGCTCATGGTTTATAGGAAATATAAAAGAACTACTATGACAGGAAACAAATCCCCTCTTTCCCTCAGTTTTCTCCGTCTTTCCCATATTTCAATATGCAGATAGATGTTTGCAAAAATCTGGCTCCTTATCTCCATATGACCCCCGGGACGTAGCTCTCCCCAAAAAAACAAGAGCACTGTTCAATTCTCAGCCCCACTGAGTGATTCTATGGAAACAGTCTGACTATTGTTGGCTCATAATAAGATGTTAATTTTTATCCTTTATTCAACTCTCTGCTCTGCCTTTGATGCACACCAATATCTCAACATCTGAAAGTTGACAGGCTCTACTCGCGTTGTCATGGTCTCACTTTAGAGGGATGATAAAGCTGATATTTCTCTGTGACAAAGGGATCAACAAAAACTTAAAAGCAACAGAAGAGGTGGTGTACATCTAGGCAGGTTAAAAAAACAATGGGAAACTAAAGCTGTGTGAGAGCTGGTGTTCATTACCGTCTATCTATATTTTGTTTCAAGAGAGCCGAATAAAACCCTGTGAGGATGGGCTCTGTTTCATATTTGAGTCTGCCTCATCAAGGCTTTCTACTGAGCTAAGTTCTGAAATAAGTGAGATTAAAATTAAACCCTAGATCAATATCTTCTATTTATACGTGGAAGAAGAGCTCATTTTCCTCCTGACCTTGCAGGATCCATGGCAGAGCTTTAAGAAAAGGGCTTTATTTACTCAAAGAGAAACACTCAGACGTACTGTATTTAGAGCAGACCGTGATATGTTTGTCTTGCCTTCGCTACCTTTTCTGAATTTTTGCATGCAGTGGAAAATGTAGGAATGTCTGGATTTTCCCCTGATATCAAATGCATTTGCACAGAAGGCAGAGAGATGCTATTCCAAGTCATCACAAGATATACAAGCGCCAAGCTGGTGCTTGAGAGGAGCACGAAGAGGGCATGACACTTACGTTCAAGGCATTCTTAGCAGCCTCCGCCTCTGATCGACTGTCAAAGCTGACAAACCCCACTGGCTGGGGAGACAAGAAGACAGAACAAAAGAAAGAAACATGGTTTAAGGCATAAAACTGAGTCGGCATTTCTGTCTGAGTGACATAGACATGTTGTTCTTTTTTTATTTTTTTATCATGCACAACCCCCCCCCCCGTCTCTCTCTCTTTCACCGTGTTTATAAAAAAGTGGCGACTGAGAGAGGAAAAGCAGGGGAGAGAGAAACGGAGGCTGGACGCTTACATTGTACAAGGAGAGTTCATCATTCAGCTCCCCTATGCCCAAATACGGGCAATGTGAGAGCAAGAGAGTGCATGTAAGAATGCTTGTGAGAGAGGGGGGGGGGGACAAAAAAAGAGAAAAGATAGAGACGACAAATAGGGGGGTGTTGGTGGTGTTGAGAATGAGAATTTAGAGGTTAAAGGTGAGAATGAAAATAAAAGAAAGGGAGGCGAGAGGCAGAAATAGTTTTCATGACCTCCTCGAACAGGCCTGTCAGTGGAACAACTATTTCACTGGTGCTTCTTTTATATTCGGGACACATCACTCTAGAGCCCGTGCCCACAATAGTAAAGGTGAGTGAGCAAGAGGGAAAAGCAATGGATGTTTGGTTGTCAGATTTCTAACCGCCGTTGCAGATATGAACAAAGAACACACGTTTCTGCAGACTACGTGTGTGCGGATGGGGATGTTGGGAGGAGGTGGGGGTGAGGAGAAAACGAAATCTCTAAACATGTTGCTCCCATGGGGTCGCGCTGCTGCGTGTGATCTGGAAAAGCAGTGTAGGGTTGTGGGAATTTTGAACAAGTAGAGAAAGAGGAGGAGGGGAAGAAAGAACAGTACGTGAAAAAAAAAAAAAGAAAGAGGGACCAAGTAAAGACGTCAGGAGGATGAAGCGTAACAGGAATATAAATAGAAAAGGTCTGAGATCTGGCTCTTGCTATATATGGAGATGGCTGTGTGTTCTCGGACTGGAAGGGAGAGGGAGATCGATTGATTTACATCGCCGTTGTCATTAGTCGGGAGGAGAGTCGCTCAAAACAAAGACCCGCCTGAAGGTCGTTGTACGGCGCTTTGTGAAGCCTGAACATGAGCACCTCAGTAGACATTTGTCATGAGGAAGATGGCAATTAAAACAGTATGAGGCAAGGTGGGGAGCAAAGAGAGGCCAAAGTGCACAGAGAGTTGCTGAGTGTCTCACCTATTCATTAAACAGGCTGAACTCAAACCACATTTTATAGATTATGAAATTTGGAATCCTGCAGGTTAAGTGCAGGTCAGTGTAGCCTTTAGATTGGAATCTAAAGCTTCAGTCACAATTACAACAACAATTAGTCATTTAGACATTAAATTAATTAGCAAGTATTTTGGTGATGCTTTGAAGATTCACTTAACACTGGGCTGAAAAACAGTATTTCACAGCAGTGATGCTGGGTGTGGTTGGGTGTGGCTCTGTTGCACCTGTAACCACATTCAACATGGATGTCACAGGGTCCTGGAGCACACCTGTACATCACTGCAGCACTGGAGGTCAGCAAAAACAAGATTTTTGGGAGGCGTTTAAGCACAAATGCCAATAATGATCAGTTTTCCAGCTTCTCCACTGTGAGGGTTTGCTGCTATTTTCTGTTTTAAAATACAGGTTTTGGGGTTTTGGACTGTTGGTCAGACAAAACTTGGCACTGGGAACTCATGATTGGCATTTTTCAATATATTCCGACATTTTATAGGCCACGCAATGAATCGACTAATCGAGAAAAGATTTTAAAAAGATTTAAAAACTATGCAAAAACAATGCTTTAGTAGTATAAGTACAAAAGATTCTTACTAATAAAGCACCACTGGACCTAAATATAGTAAAATATAAAAAGGAATATTAGAGTAGCTGCTAATTGCCTTTTTGACAACACACAACTACAATGAAACATAAAAAAAAGTGAAAATCCCAAACCCTGCAATGGGGTTTTACTTGTTCTGAAGAAATTTCACTGCAGAAAAAAAAAAAGCTTTCCTTTGTTCTTAGTTTTAGAGGTATTATACTCAGCACATTCAATCTAAATCGCCCTAAACCCTTCTAATGAGCATGTCATGTCTTTATGGGAAACAGTCTAATGTGGTAATAAGTACACTGACATGAAGCTAAATTGCTTAACTCTGGATGTGGACACCTGCCAGCTGAGCTCATTTTCAGTCCTGCGCCCCTCGAGGCAAAACTGAACCGTCAGTACTGCTCTTGTCAAAACGCTCGCTTTGACACCTCAAAATTCTTTTCCCGTCTCCTTTCCCATCCCCACACATCCCACCGGAGTTGACTGTCTGTGACTAAAAGCATACTATCCGACTGCCAAAGGCAAGTTGGTGCAACACCTCCCCCCCGAATAAAGTTTTTTTTCCCTATTCCAGGTACTTCCTGACAAAGGGTGCTAATCCTTCATCGTCAACATGCCGATATCACCAAGAGGGGGAAAAAAATAGGACAAAGGAGAGAAGAAATTAAAGGTGTTGATGAGCAAGAAATTGGGTAATGCCAACAGTAACAGCACGGTGAGAGACTGATGCCTTCATACATTAGCTGCGTTGTAGAAACACACTCCTCTGTGTGTCTTGTAGCATACCTGTTTGGAAGTGAGTTTTATCAAGGAGCCTTCATAGCCCTGAAACAAAGAAAGAAAAATGTCAGAAATGTGAAAAGGTTCTGTTAACAAAGACAACAGCTATCATTTGATGTCAAAAACAAGATATTCTAAAGATTCTAGTGAGTAAAAACGTTGCAAAACGTATTGTTTTGCATAACATTTGCATTTATTTTTGCATTTTGCATCACCACAGACTAAGCTAGGTTGTAGGACAAGTCAAAGAGCTCTTATGAAGACCACATGTTTTGTCTTACCTGATTAATAGAGATTTACTGCTTTCAACACTGATGACATAAACCATTTACTCAGAGTACGTACCATGAGCATTAACTAATGGAGAGATTAGATGCATAGCAATTGTCCCATTATTCACTTTAGCTGTGCTGCTGCACCATTTAAAGTGCATTATTCTAGGGTGACTGTCCAAAAAGCTTGCTGTATCTGCATGCTTTCACCCGAACTAAACTCTAGGACTCTTTGTGCCTGTGACAAAGTGAAGTTTCTGAGGTGAAGCAAATAGCTTTGTTTTTGTATCGCAGGCAGCGAGCCATTTTTCCATGAGACACACACACACACACACACACACACACATAAGCTTCCCGTGGATCAAGATGTGATTGAACCTCGGCTTTAGGAACACAGACACTTGAACCTCGCGGGAGAGTTTCCATTGCCGTTTATTTCATCACCATTAATGGAGGTCCCATTGACTGCTGGAAAGAAAGGCTGCTAAGAATAGCTGCAGCCCATCCATTTAAAACATACAAACATACCTTAAATGGTCTGAACAGGAGATAGAGCTCCCGCGGCTTAATATCCAGTGGTAGCCCACTGACAAATAGTGTTCGGACCTGAGGAAGACAAGAAAGAGATCATGTATTTTTCATTAACCTCCAGTGGTTATAAATAGCTACCTTCCATACCTGACAGTAACAGATGAGGGTATGAGGAAAAGGACACTGTACATGAGTTAAATAGTTCTCTGGGTTGGCTTGACAGTAAAAGAAAGACTTTTCAAACACAGATAGTGATGTCTTTCAGCTCAGCAAACACACTCAGACACACACCTTTCTACAGTACGTGTATTGTGTTCTCCTGCGTAATCTACAGCCTGCTGTGTTTTATGGCAATCCTCCCTTGCAGCTCTAGCCTCTGTTTTACATTTGAACTTTTCAACTTGCAACTTGGGCCGGCACTGCTAGGGAATTACAATGTATATGTAAGCAAAGAGAGACTAAAGGAATATTTAATTGGTGCGGGTCCGTACTGAGTCAGAGAAGGTGGGAAACCACTGGGGGGGTAACATGAGAGTGACTCCAAGTGTGCTTTCAAGCAAAGAAGTTGTTGATATCATTATATGTGTTGATAGAAAAGAAAATGAATGCTGTGTGATTGCTCTAGTTGTACTGCAGGTGAAGTTTAGGTTTGTCAGAAGGACATTTTAAGCAGTAATACCTACCTTTTGTGTGAGCAAATCTCTACTATTTTGAAAACACTATCTAAGGTAAACATTTGAAACTGCATATGTTGCCTACAATCTCATAACCTCCTACAATTGGTGAGTAAGAGGTGAGGGTGAACTCATCTCAGGGGGTGTATGTGCTGAGAAAAGGGATAAACTTGAAATATTGCTTTAGAAACAATGGGGTGAATGTACTATAAGTCAGAAATCAGAAATCAGAAATCAGAAATACTTTAATAATCCCAGGGGGAAATTATTTCGTTAAATAAATTTAAGTTTAATGTGTACTAAAATGTGAACTGTTGAGTAACATATTTCTTATGGTCCGCCAATCAAATGTCAAACTCCCCATTTCGAAGAGAATATTTTTTAGATAATAAAAAAGGTAAGACAGGTGGGCGCCCAGTTAGCTCAGTCGGTAGAGCTGGCAATCCATATACAAAGTTGCTGCAGCGGCCCAGGTTCAAATCCGACCTGTGGCCCTTTGCTGCGTGTCATCCCCTCTCTCTCTACCCACCTTTCCTGTCTGTCTTCAGCTGTCCCTATCTAATAAAGGCATGAAAAGGCCAAAAACATAACTTTTAAAAAAAATGGTAAGACAGGTAAGGTAAAAAAAAAATAAAAAATACACTCTGGTGCCCCAAATCTGTCTCAATATTCGCAAGGGAAAATAAAATAAGTAGGCTAAATACAAAATGCTCATTGAAATATGAAGTTAAAGCCAGCAGCCAGTTAGCTTAGCTTAGCAAAAGACCGGAAATGGGGAAAACAGCTAGTCTGACTCTGTCAGGAGCTAACACAATCTACCTACCACCACCCCTAAAGATAATTATTTAACATGTTATATCTTGTTTGTTTAATCCCTACAAAAGAGAAATATAAAAATGACACACTACAAGGAGCTAGCGCTATGTGCTAACCGGCTGCTAGCTTTTATCGATCTTCTCATCTAGTTCCCAAGATCCCCGTCCCTATTCCTTTAAGAAACTGATATTCTAAATGGCAAGTGGCAACCTTGTTCCTGTGGCTTGTAGGTCTTCGGGTTACAATACCGTCAGTACTTTCAGGGCACAGAGACACTGTCACCCCTTAAATAACGCCATCATCGTCCTGGCTGCCATGTCTAAAAAGGCTTGTGTGAACAGCAGTGGGTCTTTCAACACAATATGCAGCCACATTAGCACCAACTGCAACATTTGGTAAACACAGGCATAGCAGCGCTACAAGACACAGGTGCTGAGACGTCCTGTCACAGCTCATGAATGCAGATCTGGTTACATTTTGGAGGCGATGAAATAGGGAAATTCTATTTGTTACAGGTAATTGTTGATGTGTCTGTCCTTAATAAACGGTCACCACAGGAAATAGTTGTTAACACAAGTATTTGTTACTATAAACCACAACACGTGTCTTCTGCTAAGAGCAGCTTCATTTTTTGCATTTAACCTCTCTTAAGCTTTACAACACAACGAAGAAAAGAAAAATCCAATAAAGTGGTAGTAAGATAACTAGGGCAGACATGAAATGATAAATTGAAGTTTTTTTCAGATAATTCTATTATCTAAACAGGCACTAATCAAACCTCATACCTGGAATTATCACCTAATTGAAGTTGGCTTGATACAAGAATATAATTGCTTTAGTGCACAAGAGACATAAAAGTCAAACAATGTACCATGCGCATCAAACCGACTTCCAACACATCCACTGTACACACCCACGTCAATGTGTGGATGAGTAATTTAATTATGTATTCAATATTCAGATTCCATTTAAGGCTGAATCTAGAATAAAAGCGTAGGTATGCAATTACACAGAGTAGATTCAAAGCTCCCTGATTCATTAGATAGTAGATTCACAACTCGGGGGACAAAGGAACTGCTGAACTAACACTACACCTCATTCCCACATGTAACCTGATATGCAGCACTGATGCCAAAGGCAGAGCAACACACAAACAAAGGAGCTTAGCAACTGGGGGAGCAATAGCTGGAGAGTGCCAAACAGGCCATCCAGCCAACAAATCTCACCTCGCCGACTTTCTCACCTTCACTCTTATCTTATCTTATCTGAGGCGAGCTGAACCCTGCAGGGCCGTCGCTGGGCTCTGTCTCTGGCAGTTCTGTTTAAATAAGCCTCTTTTAGAGGGTCTCCTTATATGGAGTTACAAGGGAACAAAGAGTCAGAACAGGATGGTATCAATCAGACACAAGCAAGGGCAGTCACTGAAAGCTGTTGAGGCTGATAAAACTAATAGTACGGTGGTAAAAAAAAAAAAAAGAGTTAGTGCTGGAACTAAAACTCCTGAAAGGTGTTTTAGGAGTGGGCAACCAAGTCACAAAGATGGGCAAATATCCTTTAGGGACTGGTTTCAGTTTCTTTGCTGGGCATGAACACAAAAAGTTCCCAAAAAATGTCAAAAGAGAGAGAGAGAGAGTCAAGAGAGCTAATGTTGGATGTTGCACTCACTTGTTCTGTTCAGATGACAGATTTATATTTCACTCTAAAGTCTTTCTTGTTGTTTCACTTCATCGGAATCACTATATAGCAAATACATTGACCTTTCAAATAAGATTATACTTATACTAATTATTATACTAATAATGGGGTATTTATACATGGTTATTATGTAGACTGCAGCCTTTTATCAAATTGTATCTTAAACAGGAGGTTGGCAAACATCTTAAGAAAATCTTAGTCATGCCTTTGCCGAGTTATCAAAGATCCCATCTTTTATTAAACGCCTATCTTCAGGCACGAAGGTAAGAGACACTTTGAGTTGGATCTGCTGCACATGTTACGACAGACACACACAATAATGAGTCCTGCAAACACTCAGAACAATGGGACATTTTTGGCTGTGTTGAATCTCATTCCTGAGACTTCCTGACGTCAGCTGTTGTGATATATGATCGGTTTGCCGTGTGTGTGTCTGGAGCTGACTGCACACGCTGGATACGGGATGATTCACAGGCAAATGTGTCAACAGCTCTCTCCTGCAGACATCTGCTGTTGATTACAGTATCAGTCTTTATTTATGCTGCTTTGAGACTAGCTCGAAAAGGCAGAGAGAGAGTTGTAAACATGCCGCCACCAGGTAACGCGAGGCATCAAAGTTTCATGATGTAGTAAACGAAACTGAAGGTCAAGTCAGGGTTGAGCAGATTCTGCAGATTCGTAAAAAAAAAAAAAAAAAAAAAGGCTAAGATAACCCCTCTGCCACTGTTTTATTTGGTTTTAGAAGCATCGTTTTATTGGTTCTTCATGAGTCACATACCTACATTTCCATAGTGCTGAGTGGCCCGGTATGGGCTTTTGAATCATTGACCATTTATGGCGTGCTCACACACCAACAAGCAGGCAGACTTCGATCAAAAACAGCAGTCCCTACCTACCACAAGCCAGCTGAGTACTTCACAGCCGGCTACCAGCGCGGTTCCCTGGCAACGCCTTAGCGGAGCACAGCAGTGTGTGGAGCCCCGGGCCAAAAACATCAGATCCTATTAAGGCCACTTCTGCAGCAAGTCCCAGGGGATCAATGTACCTCTAATCAGAGATCCTTGAGTCCACAAGCCCCGGATGAGGTCATCACCTTATTGATACTCTATCATTGCACCTTGAAGGTTTGCTGGTGCCACCCTTAGGCTGGTGAAGGAGGGGTGAGGCGTCTGTGCTCACAACAACAACTTAAGTGAGGTAATATCTTAAAGGATAGTTTATCACAACTTAGATCTTACTTTGATTGTCTATTGTTTCCAGTAGTTGTGATAACATTGTACTCATGAAAGTACTAGAGATCTGAGCACTAAGACTTTCCACAATTATTTACTATCTTCTGCATTATTTTCCAGTTGTTTTTAATAAAATGTTGGAATATAGTGAAGAATCCCAAGGTGACATGATCAAATTCCTTGTTTTACCCTTAACCCTAACAGAAGTGAACGGTCAATTTGGGTAATAATTTGTTTTCACCTCCCAATAAGTTTGGCTAACACAGAAGTTTGTTCCAAACCCGTCTGACTGTCCGACTGCTTGTGCTTCTCGCCCCGTCTGACTCTGTTTAGTGATGTTGCCGTGTTCTGAGATCTCAGCAATTTACTTTAAAACCAAAATGATCGTTTAAATGGCCCAGATGAAGGAGCAACATTACAAAGGAAGATAAATTTAGGATTGAACTGAAACATCTGGTGCTAAAAATATCAGCTCCAGGTTGTTTTTATGACTTCACTAATGAAATGTCATGTAAGGGAAAAAGTTTACTTAGGCCATGAAACTAGGAGACCAACCTTCCACTAAACAGACTTACCACTATCAAATGTCATGAAGCTTTAATTAACAAAGCCGAAATTGACGGCACAATAACTGACTGGAACGCCATTCAGAACTCGC